CTCAAACTCTCAGAGATCTGTTTGACTCCAGAATAGTGGGATTAAAGATGTACACCACCATTACATTTTATTCAATATACCCAGCAGATAGAAGACATCAGTTTGACTGGCATCACCTATGATCTGAAAGACTGGGTTAAAGCTAGGCTAGCCTCTATCATATGTTCTCAATTCTTGCCTACTCAATCCTCAGTTCTTAAAAAGATAAAAGTCTGATTACCCAGCACTGTGGCAATAGTTGGGCTTTCATCCAGCCCAATCAATCAATCAATCAATCAATCAATCAATCAATCAAGATCTAAAAGAGTCACCTCATCACATGAAAACTCCAGGCACCAATATTTTTCCCTTTAGAAAAGCAGCTGGTTAGCCGGCCATAGGGGGCAGCAGAGTTAAGAGAGTGAATTATAAATCCCAGCAGGTGAAGTGAGGCCAGAAAAGCTAATGGGCTGAGTAAGGAGCCTTGAGGATCAGAGGGAAAGACAAAGCTTCAATTAATGAATTACACCAGCAGACGCCTGATACTAAACCAGTGATGCTCGGCCTCGACTCCTAACTGCACGAGGCTAGTTAAAAAAAAAAAAAAAAAAAAAAAAAAACATGCCTGGATCCTGCCTTAGACCAGTTAATGCAGACACTCGGGGACCAGGTGTGGTTTGTTCAAACCTTTCCAAGTTAAACTAGACTCTACCCCAGATGCTACAATGTTAAAAGCTAAACTGGAAAACAAAACAAAGTACAAAAACCTACTATTTCCCAAATATATTATTTTGTAGCTAAACCTGTGTCTCTAAAACTCAAAGGAACACTAATAATCTAAAGGCCAACTATCAGAGTACCTTTACCAAGGAGAACGTTATTCTTAAAGGTGAAAAGGACAAGTTTATAGGGATTGCACAGCTAGCCCAAAGCAACTGTGAGTCATCACTGCAGAGGGGAAGACAATTCAGATCTGTTATCCACAGAACAGTGCTCGACCCCAATGGTCTCACCAGTGTGCTAGATATACTTTCCTGGATTATCACGTTACCCAATTAGATGCTTTCAAAAGTAATTCAAAATTAAGTTAAGAAAGACAACCAAAAAATGAGGAGGGAGGATATGATCTTAATTAGGAATTCTGAAAATGCTAGCCTTAAAGGAGAAAAGATTTCCTCATATGTATACTAGTGCTAGACACTATATTTAGCAATTCCTCTAAATATCCTTAAAAAGTAAAAAGAAAAATTAATTATGTCTTCTAGAAGGCATAGGACAATAGTCAGAAAACAGTCCTAAAATAACTAAATGTCACAGTCCACCGAAAACATTTCTCTTAACTTATTCAGACGAATGTCAACTTTATCTTAGTGTTTTCCTAATTACAAAGGTGTTGTGTTTGGACGGAACAGTAACTTGTGAACATCCAGGAACCTTAAAAGTTAACAGTAGTAGTAGAAGTGTGCCCCTCCCCAAATCAAGACAACTAAAACCCCTAAAAACCAATGATGTCACAATTAACTCAGAAGACCACATACACAACTAGCACATTCGCTTCCCCTGAGGCTAAGCAAGCTCCTTCAACCAGCCACAATGATCTAGCCTCAGTTCTTCAGAGGTCAACAACGAAACTGAATGATTCTTGGAAAGTTCTTCACTTACTTATTTTAACTTGTATGCAGGTATGTCTGTGTGTCACTTATGTGCCTGGTGTCCTCACAAGCTAGAGGAGGGCACTGGATCCCCTGGAACTGGAGCTACAGATGGCTGGGAACCACCATGTGGGTGCTGGGATCAGAACCTGAGTCCTCCAGAAGATGAGTCTGTGCTCTTAACCACTGAACCATCTCTCCAGGCCCTCTTTACCTCATCTTAAGAGGAGTTTAATCTCAAAAGCAGTTCCTGTTCCTTGCTGCTTACTGACTATATTCTAGGAGACATACAGATCTGTATAACTGTAATGACTAATTTGATCCCTGTTCTTGGTAAAAACGTTATCACTACAGGCAGGAGAGCTGACTCCCAGAGGATCCACCACCTCTGGCTCCCACAGACACCTGTACTCACATGCATATACACATAATTAAAAATGGTATTCTGGGAACGCTTATATTTAAGTACTCCTATTAGTAATTCTTCATTTTAAAATATTTTAATCTGGATTTTCAAACACAAAAGGGAATGGGAGCTAGCATTCTTTGCTTATTTTTAGGTTCTTAAATTATTTCACTTAATTCTTCCAACCCTGGGAGACAGTGTTATTCCCAGTTTACAGGGAAGGAAAATAACTCAAATCAAAAACTTACTTTTCACCCTGAACTAACTCCACTGACCTGACTTTCTCAACCATACTACTTCAAGTTTATGTAAAATGAGCTTACGGCAAAAATACTGACATTTGACCAAAGTCAGATGAAGCACCTGATAAACCGCCTGAAAGTAACCTGTTTAAGCCTCAACTTTCTCCTAAGTTACTAGTGTCAATCAAAGAAAGATACTTGTGAAAATACACTGAGCCCCAGGCTGTCAAGTAACAGCATTACCACAGTATACTGGTGTGAAAAGGCAGGTGGCAAGGGCTAACGATACACAGTTTGGGGTTGTTTCAGTTGTCACGGACAACACTGGTTTGTGTTGTTTTGTTTTGTCTTTTTAAAGATAATCATTTGAAATACTAAGCTGTTATTATACATATAAGGAATCAGCTGTTTTACCAAGCCAATCCTCCCAGAAATTTAAACCAAAACAGACTAAACACATTGAAAGACTACCTATTTTAAATGACAAGTTTCCTAATTACTCATTATCAAATAACAAGTTTTAGGTGAAAAAAAAAATTACATCCTACAAGAACATAAGTTTCAAAGCCAGAAAAAAAATGATTCATATGCAATTTTCCTAATTTTATTTTCCAGCACCCAGCTCTCAGAGGAACTTACTGTTTATTTTGAACATTTTCAACATTAAAAATCACGCAGCCCACTCACCTACATGATTTTGCAAAAATAAACTGAAAAGGTTGGACTGTTTCGTTAATCCTTACTCACAGTCTGCTTTTAAGAGAACTACTTGGCGCCTTTCCAGTCCAGATCCGCGTGGACACAGTGTAGAGTAAGCGGGTTGATATAAACACTTGAAAGATCTCGGATGCCCACGGGTATCTGAATCACTCCACAGTAAGATTGTATTTCAGGGCAGGAAGAATTCTCTTTCATACTAAAGGACTTTCTGGTAGTGTTTTTGTTAAACCCATAAATGGGGGAAAAATACTACTGGCAGAAAAAGCAGACAACACTGTGGAATCAAGGGCACTGCCAAAGTACCAAGTAAAACAATCCAATTTTTCAAAGCATTTTGACAACTAGAGTAAAAGTGCTTTTTCCTAATTGAGGGTTTTATTTCCAAGTAAAAGTTTTATTTCCTCAACTGAATCTGCATCAGTTTATAATGAATAACACCTTTAGGGATAGTACACAAGCAAATATCTAAAATCGGTCTAGAGTTTCCATTTTATTTTTTCCTATTACTGGCCAAATTCTGTACATAAAAACAACTTGTGGTACCTGCAACTTCTCGAGTCAAATGCCATGTAACTTGAGAATATGATTACCGATTCTATAAATTTCTGTCAGCTTTAAAAGCAAAACCTATTAAAACTGCATCTCTTGAGACTAACCAGATGTTTAAAATCCAATTACTAGGTAAGAGTACTTAAGTACAATATTAACATCAAGAATAACTCACTTGAGAGGATTAAATATGAAAGAAAAATGCCAGTATCAAGACTTCAAGCTAAAAATAACTGGATAAACTAATGAAAAACAATCAAAGTACAAAATAACTTTTAATTAAGTATAAAAATTTAAACCACCGAATAGTGATTCAATAGCCTAACAGGTAAGACAGGATTGTTTTATGGCTATGGCTGCACTCCACTGACCGTGCTACGTCAATTGAAACAATTCTGGTATGTTAATAAAGGAGATACACACAGAACGTATATACATTCTTTCCAAAGGTCCGTTTGAGTGTAGCTGTGGCATGTGCTGGATTCAGACGCACCCCAAGAGGCAGATGTTGGGTCTGAATGGGGTTCCTAATCTGTCGTTGGTCAACTGTTGATCTGATCTGGGATTTTCTTTACACCCCTTGCCAGACTAAGTTAGGAATTCACAGACCCAAAGACAAATTAGAACCAGACTGGCCTCGAAAGGGATGCTGGATCTTTGTCAAGCGAACTGAAAAAATCTGCTGATCACTTATCTATTTAGGCATGAGCCTTTGATTTGTTGGCCCTGTAAATCATTCTCTAGATTTCTATCAGGTTTGCAAGAATTTCTCAAATACCTAGGAACATAATTAACTCCCCATAATGACATCAAACTCACAAGATGAAAAGGCGTAAGAAAAAAAATCATTACATCAAAAGTCAGCAATTCTCCAAAGAGTAATAAGCAAGGGCACCAGGAAAACAACTTCGCGAAAAGCCCCCAAACCTAGTGGGGAAGCTAAGCGAGCCGAAAGGGGTGCCGAGCACTCCTGCAAGGCATTAGGCACGGGCACCAAGGTGAATTCCTGAACCAAACCTTCCGAAGTCCTTGGAAGCACGGCCCCGGGAACCGGGCGGCCGTGCAAAGACACCCTCTTCCCCCTCGTCACCTCTGCGGAGACAATCGAGGTCTTCCAAGGGCTGACACCGACGCCTAACGACACGGTCTGTAGGATATGTCACCCGGGCCCGGTTTGGGTTTTTTTGGCTACGTCTGAAAGCCAGCTAACTCAGCGGCCGTCTGTTCGGACCCCGGGTCTGGCGACTGAGGGAAAGTGAAGACCCAGCGAAGCCTGGAGGATCGCCAGGGCAGGGGCTCGGCAGAGTGGGGAGCGGGAGGCCCGGACGAGGGGAGGGAGCGCGGGCACCACCTCGGGGACCCCGGGGTCGCCACGACGGCAGGGCGGGTGGGAAGGGGAGAGGGGCACGCCCGGGGAGAGGGCACGGAGGGGGGGGGCGGCGCGCGCTTTACCTTTGAGCTGGGGCAGGGGGTGCAGCTCCGCCTGGCTGCCCTGGCCGCGGAACTGCGACGAGCCCTGCGAGCGCTTCTGCCTCTGCGCCTTGCGCACCGATTTCCGGGTGAAGCCGTCCACTTTCTCCGAGGCCGAGATGGCGGCGGCGGCGCAGGCAACCGGCGCGGGCGGCGACGGCGACGACATCTCCGCGACCCCGGAGCCCCGCTGGCCCGGCTGGCCCGGCGAGCCTGCGCCCCGGGCCCCGGCCGCGCCGCCCTCGCGCTCACGCGAGCTGCTCCCCGCCCGACAGCGCCTCACGGCCGCATCCCGGGGCCGGCGGCGGGGAGGGCTGGGGCGAGCGCGCGGGCCGGCCCCACAAGTTGCTGACGCCCGGCGCCGAGGGCGGGCGGGCGGAGGCGAGCCCGAAGTTTGGACGGCTGGGGCGAGCGCGCGGGTGCGGATCCCCCCCGGGCGCGCCTCGCGTCCCCTCTAGCGCGCGCGGAGCCCCCGGCGGAGTCTCAGCGGCCGCTGCCCGCGCCGTCCGCCCGGCCGGGAGCCTCCTCCCGGGGCGCTTCCATCGCGGGTCCGCGCGAGCCACCGCCGCCGAGCGCTCGCCCTCAGGTCTGTCAGCGCCGGCCCCTCATCGCCCGGGGCGGCCACCCGCGCCGGGACCCCTGGAGCGGCGTCGCCCTCGCTCTCCCCCGCGCGCCCACCCACCCGCCGACCGCCCACGGAGCACGCCGGGCGAGCGACTGCTACAACTTGAGAGGGCGGCTGGTACGGGCGCGGGGGCGGCGGGGCGGGAGGAGGGTGGAGAGGAGGGGGGGGCGCCGTGCGCGTGCGTGCGTGCGCGCTCGCGCGGCCCGGGCGGGGAGGTCCTCGCGGGGGGTGGGGAGGGTGGAGTTTGACTGACAACTTCCGCGGGGTCCCACGAGGCTCCGGAGGGGGCCGGGGCGGGAAAGCATGCCAGGGCCCTCAGCCAATCGCAGGCCGAAGCGGCAGGACCCGGGGAGGGGGCGTGGCCTCCTGGATGTCTAGCGGGAGTTCAGAGCTTGGGGAGAGGGAGGGGCTACGTGACGGATGCGGGCTTCAGCCAATCGCAAGTGGAGGCAGTGAGCGGGGTGCCTTGTGCGTCACAACTGCAATGAAAGCTCTCGGGAGGGACGGAGGGAGGGGGCCGGTGGGGAACGGGAAATGCCGCTGTGGGCTCGGGGCCCGAGCTGTCCTCCCGGCAGCGGGCGAGAGGAGAGCGAGACCGGCATCCCAGGAAGCCCAAGAGCGCTCCGCACGGCCAGAGATGACCTGCGAGCGCCAAGCGTTGCGTCAGCGGGACGGGGCGGGGCGAAGGTCGCGGCGCAGCCGTGTGATTGACAGGCGGAGGCGTGAACTCGTCCAATCGGAACGTGATGCTGGGCTCCTGGGCGGAGCGTGGCCCTCGGGTCTCCTAAACCGCCTACTTGGGGTTCGGGGAGCCCTTTTGCAGCTCCCGAGGTTTCGGAGCCTCGCGTGGGGTTTGGGCGAGCTCGCCTCTGCCACTTCAGACAACTCTGCGAGTCCGCGCCCTCTGAAAAGAAGTTTTTCCGTTTCGAACTTAGCCCACTTTTAACCCCTTCGGCTTGCGGGGCCTTCAATCATCCATTGTCAAGTTCAGATTCGCTCATGTTGGGGTCTTGGGATCTCGTCCTCGGAGACTCCGGGTCAATTTTAAATGTATAGCCGAGGACGACTGTGCGTGTTAGTTTTTGGGCCTTTCCTGTGGTGCTTGGGCAGTAGGTGACCCCGCCCCCAACAGTGTCCCCTTTGGTCTGCAGTCTCCTGCAAGCGCCACACCTTTTTGACGTAATAAGTACATAAGTGGGCTGACATAATGCGTGAGGGGGATCGAGAATTATGCACAAGTTGAGTTGTAGACCTACATTCAAACGTTTGCTCAAATTATGCAACCAACAGAAATGGATAAAGAAAATGGGTTATATGCACAATGAATTTTTTTTCACCAAAATGACCCAACTGGAGATAATCATGTTAAGCTGATTAAAGCAGTCTCAAAAAAGATAAATGTCCTGTTACCTCTCCCATGCGGTTCCTAGATTTTACAAAGATACATTAAATCGTGTAGGTATTTGCAACTTGGAAGTAGACGTGAAGTTGTTTTAAGAGAATAAAAAGGTTAATAAATTAATAGATGAGAGCGAATATGTTTGATGTGCAAGAAATATTTGTATGAAATTTCTAATTAAATATTAAACAACAGCCGGGCGTTGGTGACACACGCCTTTAATCCCAGCACTTGGGAGGCAGAGGCAGGCGGGTCTCTGTGAGTTCGAAGCCAGCCTGGTCTACAGAGCTAGTTCCAGGACAGTCTCCAAAGCTACACAGAGAAACCCTGTCTCGAAAAAAACCAATAAATAAATAAATATTAAACAACAATAACAAAAAGGTTATATGCCATCTTCCCAATCAAGGAGGCTCAGTCTGCATCAGCCACTAAAAGACCTTTCTCATCCAATCAAGTACCAGCTTAAGTTGACTCTTTAAGGTTCAAATAGTCTTTTAACAGTTTGCAAAATGAACCACCCATGGTAATTCAGGGTTTCTGTATCACTGCCAGAGGGCCTTTCAAGAGGTCATGTGAGCACACACACACACACACACACACACACAATTATAATATAATTAGATCACTTCTCCCCTCCCTCCAAACCTTCCCATGTACCACCCTCCTTGCTCTCTTTCAAATTCATAGCCTCTTTTCCTTTAATTATTGCTGTATATTCCTGAATATACAAACACAACCCGCACAGGCTATGTAATGTACTTGTATGTATATTGTAGGGAAAAGGGACCAGTCAAAGAAACACACCCTGAGCAGAGCCAAAGAAACACACTTTGGCCCTGCAACCAGAACCAAAGAAATGTACCCTGACCCTAAAACCAGTGCCAAAGGAACACACTTTGTCCCTGGAATCAGAGTCAGTGAAAGAAATGTACCCTGGCCCTAAAATTGGAGCCAAAAGGCTAAAAAGGACCAGAGAAAGAAACACACTTTGGCCCTGAAACCAGAGCCAAATCTGACCCTAATCCTGTGTAAAAAAGTAACCAATCCCGGAGCAGAGCTCTAGCCAATCTGAGCTCAGCACTGAAGTGGGACCAATCCCTACTCTGGAAAAACTTCCCCAACCCCAGGAATCCCTATATAAACCCTGTGTATGTTCAGCTTGGCTGGTCCAGTTGTCTTCCAATAAACCCCTTTGGACGAGCTTCGGGTGAAGATCTTCTTTTGCGGCGGCGACAGAGCAAGCAGAGGCGACCCTGGGCAGAGCAGAGCAGAGCAGAGCGAGCAGCGCTGTAACACTTGCCCGGGAAACCTTCCTTGGCAGAGCGGAGTTGTTACACTCTGCTCCCGGCTCTCCGCTCTCTGCTCTCCGCTCTCCAGGAGCAGAGCTGAACTGTAGCAACTTCGCCCGAGAAACCTCCTGCGGAGCAAAACTGCTACACTAGGCGAACATGCCCAGCTGGAAGACCCTGTCCTGCCGGAGCGGAGCTGATACACCGGAGAAGCCTTTCTCTGAGGCAAGGCTGTAAGCTGCCAAGCTTACTGCAACCTGTGGTGGTCCTTGGCTCCCGAGCTCCAGGATACCTTTCTACCTGAGCTGTGTAACACTCAGTATCCTTGGCTCCCGAGCTCCAGGATACCTTTCTACCTGAGCTGTGTAACACTGAGTATTCTGTGACTCCCGAGTGCCAGAATACCTGACCCACTCCTGTTCCATCCTGTCCTGACCCATCCCGACGAAACGCTTACATATATGTTTTCAAGGGGGGCTATTTGGCATTGCATCACCAGTTAGTATGGTCTTCCCTGGAAGCTATTTCTCCAGCTCTCGGCATTCCTTAGTTGCCTGTGGCTCTGTGTTATGGACCAGCACTCACACAAGAGAGTCCAAATTCAGTTTAAGTCCTGACTTGGCCAGGTACAAATCCCACTGTACGGACTTTTTTTCCTTCCAGTTCAGACACAGCATCCTACAGAGTGACCTGGCTTCCTCCACACTTGGTGCATTCCTCCTTCTTGAAATGGCCCACCTCATTCACGTTTGTTGAAATGAGCCCAGCTAAACACCTACCTTTTGTGAAACTATTCACAGTAATCTGCCCTGGGGTTTGCCTCCCTTCTGAGTGTTTCAGTTGTATGTCTGCTCCATATTCCTCACAGGGCCTGCTACCCCACACTCCCAGGTGGCAGCATGCTTCTTCTCCTCTGAAGATTTGAGAGCACCAAGAAAACTGAATTGCTTCTCGTCTCTACTGAAATAGATAGGCAGTGTAGAACAATGTAATGTTCAGCTCTCAACGTTTCTGAAACTGTGGTTACTGAATTCCTTGTGTCAGAATCCTTGAGGTGATTATTTGAAATACAGGCTCCTGAACCTCTAATCTGATGCACTATATCGGAAAAAATATGGAGAAAAGGTTGCAAATCCATTTTTTGTTTGTTTGTTTTTCGAGACAGGGTTTTGCTGTGCAGCTTTGGCTGTCCTAGAACTCACTCTGTAGACCAGGCTGGCCTCCATCTCACAAAGATCCGCCTGCCTCTGCCTCCTGGGTGCAGGGATCAAAGGCATGCACCACCACTACCTGTCTTGAAAACCATATTTTAACAAACTCCCCATGGTTGTGCACACAGGAATCAGAAATCACAATTTCCTAGTCAGCTAAATATTATTAAAAATAGTATAGAGGTCTGGTGTAGCTCGGAGGTAGAGTACTTGTTAGCATACACAAGACCCTAGAATCAGTTCCCAGTACCATCCACACATGATAGTAAATATCTGTAAAACAGGGTAGTTCTATTTATAATAAAGACAATGTATATAAAAGCATACACACACACACAAAGAAGTATTGCAGAATATTTGTTTTCACAGTGAAGATGTGTTTTTGCCAAGGCACCTTCTGGTTGGTTTAATAAAGAGCTGAATCGGCCAAGAGCTAGGCAGGAAGAGGCTAGGCGGGACTTCCAGGACAGAGAGGACTCTGGGAAAGGCAGAGGGGCCAGCCAGATGTGGGGAAGAAGCAGGATGGGCAGAACATAGATTCAACAATCTGGTTGGCTCAAGTTATAAGAACGAGTTAGGAACAAGCCTAAGCAGAGACCAAGCTTTCACACTTGATACTGAGTCTCCAAGTCACTATTTGTGAGCTGGGGGTCCCCGATGAGAAAGTTAGTCTGTAGAAAATATTAATAGAGTCCTAGCAATTTAGTTAGAGTGAGCACAACTGTTTGAGTATTGTCTGAAATGGTCACCTGGGGAAGAAGTTTTCAAGGTTTGAAAGAAAGGATAAGTTAAAACCTGAAAGAAAAAAAAACGAGAATGGTTCCACGTTCAAGTTAGCATTTGGGGGAGGATAAAATGTAGTGTGACCCTGCTTCAAAACAAAGACCCAACTTCATATGTTCTTTAATTTTATTTTATTTTTTATTTTATGGGCACTGGTGTTTTGCCTGCATGTATGTTTGTGTGGAGATGTCAGATCTTGGAGTTACTGGCAGTTGCAAGCTGCCATATAAGGTGCTGGGAATTGAACCTGGGTCCTCTGGAAGAACAGCATGTGCTTGTGACCACTGAACCTTCTCTCTAGCCCCACAACTTAATATTTTTTTACAGCCCACTGAGTCCAGTTATGGCTGCCCTTAGGCACATGGATGTGG